TGGAAAAGATTTTAGCTTTGACGCGAGATGAAGTGAAGCACGTACGTTAGGAGGTGACCTGGCAGAGCAGAGGGTGGAGGAAGCAGACAAAATGCCAAGATGAGCTCAAAGACGATTAATTATGAGAAGAGTGTGCCTTACTCTTTGATTTTCTTCTTTCTTTTCTTTCGGGCGCACAAGGAAAGCTCCGAGGAAAGTGAGCGTCGACAAGATCAACGACCAATAGGATTTTTGGCAGACACTCAGCCCGTTCCCTCGTCTGTACCGACGTCGTAGCTGGCTAAGCAGTCAATACTCGCCAACCTCCAAAGCTCACACTAAAGAGACTTCCGATAACACTCTACGCCCTAAACTGAAAAACTGCACCTAATGACCTCGAAGCGTAACAAGCAGAAGACGGCCTGGGGTGGTTCATCAGCTTCATCGAGTGGTAGTGGGAGCGGCGTACCCACAGTGAGCCGGCGGACAATGGAAGACGCGCTGCTGTTGGCCCACATGCGGTGCGACGCCAACTGCAGCGCCGCAAACAGTGTGGCCCACGCCATCAACCGCTTCTGGAGCGGGCTGGGCCTCGACGCGCGCCGGACCCTCACCAGCGAGAAGAAGCACGTCGTGCTGCAATCCCTCCGCAAGAAGCACCTCCACACCCGCAACTGCCCCTGCTGCCAGCACTCCAAGGTACGCACGCACCTTCATCCCTCACCCATACGATGATCATCGTCTTCTTCAGCAACACGTGTTGTGGAATTGTCGATATATCTCTTCCTTTCTCATGATTCTCGCTTCAATGCGCGGGCTCATTTTCGTGGCATTATCGTTTCATTCTTGTTTGTTTCGATGGAAAGGAGCGAAAATAATCCGACCACCATTTTCCGCATTCCGCAACACAAACCCAGGTTTTCTTCGACGGAGGAGCGCGCACGTACGAGCGCTTCTGCACGGCTTGGGAGAATCAGCCCGACGACGCCGGCCTCATCGACATTCACTCCCCCGCCATCCTGGGCGTTGACGAAAACACTGGTAACGCACACCACACGACACGACCAACGACACCACACGAATGAACACTTACATATGTATATGAAATGTTAGAGGCGGACAAGTCGAAGCTCAACAAGAAAAAGAAAGGGGCGAAGAGCGAGAGCAAGCCTCGACCGCGGGGAGCCAAGCGCACGTTCCTCGACGAGCTCGAGGAGCGCGAGAATCGGATCCGAGAGGCGGAAGAGCGCGAGCGCGAGAGGGAGCGCGAGATCGAAGCCGAGCGCAACCGCAACAAGCCCGAAGAAAGGGAGGAGGACGTGGTCTACGTCGACGTGCCCACCATCTTCGGCGACGCGCTGTCGGTCAAGGTAACCATCACTTCCTCTCCTTCTTCTTCTGTGTGCACCTGACTGCTGCGAAGCCCTTCATCTCTGCCGCCGCCGCTGCCGCCTGCGCTCCGTCGCTGTTTAGTGCTCTCGTGGGGCTGAAGGGATCGGTTGTGTTCGTGTGTGTGCGAAAGGGGAGAGGAGGATGCGGCGGTGGATCGATTGGCGGCGGGGCGGAGGTGCATGGTCAGCGTATCAATCTGACGATCGTCTATGTTTGTGCACACCGTCGGGTCAGGCTGGCGTGATTTCGTTGAAGAGCTCCGAGATCGCCCGCGATGACCTCTGGACATTCCTCCTGGAGCGGTATGTGCACGACCACACTTCTGTTTTTTTGTTTTTTTTTGCCAGATATCTAAGAAAACTCTGTGCAGCGAGAACGATTGTCAAGCGAAGAACAAGCAGCACTACAAGAAGTGCGAGATCTGCTCATCGTACCACGTGTTCGAGGTACTGGTTCTGCTTTAATGATGAGTTTTATTGTATTTTGGAGTTCACTGAATGGGGGCTCCCCACAACTCCAGCTGTTTCTGTTCCACACATTCTTCGACAACGTGAAGAGAGCCCAAGTGGACGAGATCAGGCGCCAGCATGCCGAAGCCTGCGCCAAGCTCCTCCTCGAAGAGGAGCACAACAAGAAGGCCAACAAGAAGACAACGTACGTGCCTGAGTCTTGAACGATGAAGAACTCGTCAACTGAGTGTTCGTACACGCAGGTCCAAGTCCAAGAAGCGCAAGGAGCGGCGCAGTCGAAAGGAGGCGTGCGATTGCAAGTGCCATGACGGAGGGCAAGCCGCCCCCACCGCATCGCCGGTGATCGACCACCTCGCCCAGGCGGTAGAAGCCGACGGAAGCGGCGAAAGTGGTAACGAGGTAAGCGAAGACGAGGTGCGGACGGACGAAGGCCAGAACAGCGATGGAGACCTCGACACCTTCGTGTCAGAAGAAGAAGAAGAAGAAGAAGAAGACGAAGAGGAAGTCGAGGCTGGAGATGTGTCGACCGAAGAAGAAGAAGAACAAGCTCAGGAATCCGAGGAAGAGCCGGAGGTGCGAGTTGAGCCACAGCAACAAATTAGACACGAGGTCGATGACGGTCGAGGGTGGACGAAGCAGACCAACCGGAAGAAGCCCAAAAAGGCCGCTAAACCCGAAGTGGCGGTGCTGCCCGCAAAGACGTACGCCTTGTCATCTCTCGGTAGTTGAACAGCGGCCCACAAGTTACTGACCAGCAGTGGCTCGGGGTGGCACAGGTGTCCGCCGGGACTCAGCCTGGCGGTTCCGACCAGGAGCATTCCGACGCCCAATCGTGTGACCACGCCGCCCAGCACAGCGCCCGCCCTGCTGACCAACTCGGCCCCGAGCCTCAAGCGACACACTCCGTTCGCCGAGATCGCGAAGGAGAAGCACAGGTTCGTTTCCAGATTCACACTTCTTTCTGTTTCTCTTGGCACTCATCTTGGTCTGTGATGATGTTGTCTGCAGGAAGCAAGGCGATGGAAACCATCTGTGTCTGAACCAACTGCACGATCACAACCACTCCAAGCACGCACTTCCCAACAAGCCCCTCGATGCTCAGCCCAAGCAATCTGCATCCCCGCTGGCGGCGCCAGCGTCGGCCACTCCGGCTGCTGCGGCGCCGGCTCTCCCCAAGAAGCCCCAAACCTCGGCCTCGACCGCGAAGCCGGCGCCCATCGTACCGGGGCCGCCCCCTCCCCACTTCCCCTACTGGAGCCGACACCACCACAACGTGATCCCCAAGGTACTCCCCTGCTTGGTGCTTTAGTGGATTGGCGCTTTGATTGTGATCGGGTGATTGTTGGTTGGTTGCGTGGCTGCAGAACTGGGTGTGGAAGGCCAAGAAGGAGGAGCAGTCGGCGGCCGAAGCCAAGGCGCAGGCGCAGGCCAAGGGGCTCGAGGAGGAGCGCAAGAGACAGGAGCGGCAGGAGAAGATACGCAGCGCCGCTGCGGTCTTGAAGGAAGCGGTACTCTGGCTCTCGCTCGTGTGGTACCGACACAGATCAAAGACATGTCTCACAACCAGACTGTGTGTTGCGTGCCATTCTTGGTGCGTGTGTGTGTGTGTGTGTTCAAGATCCGTGAGGCTGGAGATGCCAGCGATGTGAGCTTCATGAAGGAGACTCTCAAGGAGCTCAACGACCAAGCCAACGCCAAGTTCTGCTGCGATTGCGCGTTCGACAAACCAGAAGACGCCGACAAGCAACGACAACAGACGGACAGGTGAGCCTACCGCCAATCTACCGTGTGCATCGCTATCAGAAAGACTCACCTTGATGTTGTCTCGCTGTTGCGTGGCGTCCGCAGTGGCCCGGCGTGCAGCGTGCCCGATTGCCGCGACGTCGACTGCTGCTACTCCCACTTTGACGGTCCTTCGCTGTTCAGCATCGACCCGGTCATGTTCCCCTTCTCCCACAACTACACCTCCTCGCTCGTGTCGTCGCCCTCGTCGTGGCCTTCTTCGCCCACACTCGACTACAGCTATCAGTTCTCCTCCTACGCCGCAGGGGAGCCCTGTGCGGACTCTCTGCACCATGGCCACCACCAGCCTTGGCTCCTTCACTCGTACACCTGACCCTGCAGTTGCAGCTTGTCATTTCCTGGTGTGAAAAAAACAATATTGTTGGACAATGTAGCAGCTTTGTGGGGGGGGGGGGTTAAGAAGACTCCCAGCCAGTGGTGGAGAGCCAGTTGCTGCCTGCTCCAGCCCCTGCATGGCTGGGGCGCATGTGGCCTGGACGTTGCCACCTTCTACCGCCAGAGTTGCTCGACAATGTGCCTGGCGCGAGCAGCAGCGACGACGACAGTGGTGGTGGCCGGCTGTTGTTGGCCGTCGGCGGTGCTGATGAGTGTGTCGTGTAGGATGATGTCGCTGGCCTTCTCGCCGATCATGATTGCCGGCGCGTTGGTGTTGCCCGAGATGATCTCCGGAAACACGCTCAGGTCCGCCACACGCAGGCTTTTCAGCCCGTGCACCTGCACCATTCACCCCACGCCGTGAGTGCGTGTTCTTGTGCGTGTGCGTATGCGGTGTCGCACGCAGCGTGTGCGTACCCGGAGGTGAGTGTCGACCACGGTGGTCTTGACTTGCACTGGCCCCATGCGCGCGGTGCCGGTGGGGTGGTACACGGTGAGGCAGTTCTTGATGACTAAGGCCCGCACGTAGCCATCGCTCTCGGGGTCCTCCTCGGAGGTAGATAGGGCGAAGGGGTAGTTGGAGCGCAGCCGCACGCTGCCGCGGATCTTCGGGTGCAGGAGGGTCGGCAGGAGCGAGAACCTGCAAGTCGCAACACCGCACAAGCAACACCGCACGCGCACACACGAAAGTTAGATCGATAGCACACGCACAGCCGCACACGCATACACGTACCCAAACTGACTGGTTTCGTAGCCTTCGATGTTGAGGCCGAACTGCGCCTTGAGCTTCTCGGGCTCCGTGCCGGTGAGGCCCGAGAAGAGGCAGTGGATTTGCAGATCGGGAATGGGCTGCCACGCAAAAGCCACAAAGCACATTGTGTGTGTGTGTGTGTTTGTGTGTGTTGTGTTGTGTGTGTCACACGACTGAGTGTTAGTTGTGTTGTGTCACACGACTGAGTGTTAGTTGACACGACACGCGAATTTATATACTATAGGCATGAGGGCTGTGTGGATCGTCATACGTCGGGCAGGTGACAGTTTTCGGTGCGGATGAAGGCCATCGACTCGAGGGCCTGGGAAGTGTACGGCCCCTTCTTGAACAGCAGGTAGCGAACCAAGTTGCCGATGTTCTGTCGCGCCCATTAAACAAAGCTAGTGAGCCGACTGGTCAAAAATTCGCGGGCTCATGCGCGGTGAGTTGGGGTGGTGGTCAGTGCGCACCTCAACCACGGCCTTGTCCATCGTTACGGGCTTGGAGCATCCTGAATGAGTTCTACTGAGCGACTGGATAGCGGCACACTTTGCCGACGTGCCGCCTCCGTTCCATTCGCTAGCCCTCGCCGCTCTACCGCTGCTTCTCCTCTGTGCCCTCGACACTGCCCGCGCTTCCATCTCCTCCGGAGGCTGCTACGCCACGCCTCCACCTTACACCAGCTGGTGCAGAGGACGAGGGCGATGCCAACCCGCGGGCGGCGAAGAGAGGCCGCACCAGCAAGGCCGCAAAGGAGCGCGACATCGTTGCTGCCGCCGCCGAGAGAGGAGAACGCCAACGCGAGACAGCGCAGAGCCGAAGCCAGGCGGAGGGAATTAGAGGACCGGCAGCAAGGGCGGGCGCTCGTGCTCGAGTACGCGTCCGAGGAAGAGGTCCTTGGTCCTGCGCCCACGGCCACGAGCTACGTACGTTGCCCCCACCCGCCACCCGCGCTTCAGCCACCGTGGTGCCTACGGCCGTAGCTCACAAGATTCCTGCTTAACACGACGGCACCTAGCACGATGTTTGCGCACCATGTTGCTGCTGGATCGTGCCAGAGCGTGTAAATGCCCGTCATCCTGTGGCGGGAAGGTACTCGCCGACCTTGATCTCAAGCTGGCCGCGGCTGTTGATGGGGACTGACTCACTCTCTCACTCTCCGGCTACCATCGACCGGTCCACACACAACAGGCCCAACAGCTGACGGCCGCACTCCTTCCCCTGGCTACAAACGAGCGAACAACCGAGAAGTAACGAACGAACGCCAAAGAAAGAACCCGATGGCATGAAGCCCGGCAAGGAAAACTGCCGTGCCGTCGTCCTATAGGATGTTTTTACGGCGATTATTACTATTGCCGTGAATGTTGCCAAAGCACGTTCGCGTTTCTGTGGCCCTATAGGATGTTTTTGCGGCGACAACATTCAAGCCAAAAAACAAGGACGTCGGAGGTAATTTCACGCCAAGAAGGGTTCAACCCTCCGTACGGCCGTACATGTAGAAGCTTCCAACATTTAGAGTTAACGCAGTGAGTCGAGCCTCCGGCATGCAAGCTTACCCGCTTTTTTTTCTGTGCCTCGGTGTTGCTTTCTTCACAGGGGGAGCCTTTGCGGGTAAGTCTCAATTCTTTTGCTGAAGGCTGACAATGTTTATCGCCCCCCCCCCACAAAGCTCCAGCAGGACGGGGCTTCTTTGGTCATCTGCGTCTGCAGAACTGCCTACCGTTTCCTCTTCAATTGGCGCCCTTCTCCAACGTCATGATTGCAGGCCTGGCCCTGAATGCCACTGCGGACTTCAATTTGAAGGCAAACAGCAACAACTCCTACACCTTCATCTCCGATACAGGCAGCGTATGCGCCGGGTTTTGCGTCTACAACACTCCCAAAGGAAGTTGCAGCATCGATTGGCTGTTCTTCCCCTCGACTCCAGATGTGATGGGCTTCGGACATAGTTCAGCATGCCTCGAGATCGGCATAAGGGTGGACTGGGCATACAACGTAAGCTCATGGACCCTTACCGGGACATTCTTAGGATGGTGAAGACATGTTTCGCACATCCGGTTCATTTCTTCATAGACTTGAATATATTTGAGACCCCAACGACGAGAGTCGGGCCATCGATAGCAGTCTGCACGGCATTCGTGTTCGACACGTCGCGCCATTTCGACGTCCCGGCGTCAACTTGGCGCCAGCCAGGGCCGGGAGCTCGACGAACTGCCGCGAGCCCCCACTGACAACAGCAGGAGGCGCGAAACGTGCTTTGAGGAAAGGGTAAGGGAGGCCGTGGAGAAGGCCCTCCAGCCTGAGCGCGGAGAAGGCGACCGGGACGAACAGGTGGTCCTGCATCTGCTCGCCGACGTACGGCATGTCTCTGTTTGGTGGTGGCGCATGTCACCGAACCGCGCAATAGACATCTGCCGTGTGTGTGGGTGTGTGTGTGTGTGTTGCGTGCGTGCGTGCGTGCGTGTGTGTTGTGGCCACTGTACTGGATGAGGGGAATGTAGAACTCCCGGAGGTGCTGCTTGGGACCCACGCCGCTGAGCATGAGCAAGACGGTGCCGCAGGCCAGGATCACGTCCTTGCCGCGTAGGCCGTATGGAACCGCTTGTAATTCTCGCTCTGGAGCTTGTACTCGACACCTGTAACCACACACAACACACACACACACAACACACACACACACACACAATGAGGCAAAGAAAAAGTGCGAAGCCGCGTAAATACAATACCAACAGCGCGGGTGCGGTCGATGTCAAACAGAACGCGCGTCGCATGGGCGCCGACCAGGACGGTGAGGTTGGGCCGCTTCTGCACTTCCGGCTTGAGGAACGCGTAGGCCGTGGTGCACCGACGTCCGTTGTCTGTTCGGTGGTGGGCAGTGGCGGGAAAGCCAGCGTTAGGGCAAAGTCAAGGGAAGTCAGTTGACTTTTGATTGCCTCAGTACTGGGGCGACCGGGTACCGATGGTCAGTTGAGCGTGGCCGACGCCGAGCTGTTGGCCGCCGTTCATGTCCGGGTTGTACAGAATGCCGACACTCTGGGCCGCAGCGATGAATGTGCTGTTTTGTGTGTGTGTGAGTTATGTAACTTTGACGAATGGGCCACGTAACGAATCCTTGGACGCACCCGGTGATGGTGTTGGGCGCCTGGACGTCGCTCACCACGAGGGGTCCACCGGCTCCCCTGTGGCTCGATGACTCTGCAATCAATCGGCGGATCCACATGAGTCATCTTCTTGTTTAGTCCCACGAGAAAACATGATACACGAAACACGAACCTGTGCTCGGACTTGCGGAAGTTGGGCAGCACCTCCTCGTACGACCACCCGGTGCAGCCAAACTCGTTGGCCCACAGGTCGTAGTCTTTTTTGTGTAATTGAAAAGGGTGTGTGTGTGTGGTCTGGGGAGGAGCAGGGGCGTACCGCCAGGATTGCCGCGAACGTAGAGCATCCATTTCAAGGAGCTGCAACCTCCCATGCTGTACACATGAGTGTCAGAGAGTGAGCGATGAATGCCGGGCCTCACAAAATGCCCATGATGAAGAAGAGTCCTCCATGGGGGAGAGACACGCACACTTTGCCGCGCGGCCACACGTGCACGCGTCCGTCGGTGGCACGCCACACGTGCACGCGTCCGTCGCCCACCCGTTCGGTAGACACGGCACTGGCCGCGATCACCTTTTTCTTCAGCCCATGGGCGAAGGAGGAGGTGCACAGCATGGCCAAGCGTCTTCGCATACTTACCTGCCTGGCCGACCGAGCCTGGCCGTCCACGGCGCCCCTTTTCCATGGTGTGTCGTGGGCAGGCTTTGGGGGTCAGCACTGCACAATATTTGGTAGAATGGGCGGCAAGCTTGAGGCGCGGCCGCCCACGCCCAGCGATCAACAACAAGTACCACCAACGTGATCGTGTGCGCACAACACATTTTATGTCGACTATGACGCACAGACGCGCCATGGCGCGGTGCAGGTCCTGCTTGTTGGCCAGCACCACAGCGGCACCTGCGGCCCCAACACAGCCAGCATAGCTTGGAGAAGCGTGGCTGCCTCGCCCACTCTCTCACGGTTGCCGCTGTCCACCACATACACCACCCCCTGCAGGGGGTCCCGGGAAGAAGTGGCGTCACAGCGGCCGGATCTTCTCCTGTAGCGGGCTCACGGTCATCAGGTTATGGTGAGGTTGCCACAGGTTGCGCACTCGTAGGAGGAGCTCGGCCACATCAGCATTTTTCACACTTTCACCAAATCGATAGCCCTGGGCGTTGGTTTCTCCAGCACGCCCTATATTCAACCCCCTCAGCTCCTGGTCGCCCTCCACCTCGCCCACGCCGTCGACCATCGTCTTCGTCTTCGTCGTCCGCCTCATCAGCGCCTTTGTTCTGAACTCGCCCACAGCTTCGGCTTATCGCCTTCGTCGTCCACCTTGTTACCGCCCACGCCCACGCCCACGCCCACGCCCACGCCCACGCCCACGCCCACGCCCACGCCCACGCCCACGCCCACGCCCACGCCCACGCCCACGCCCACGCCCACGCCCACGCCCACGCCCAGTCACATCGACCATCGCCGTCCGTGTCAGCCACGCCTTGACCTCACTGCGCGGCCTCAAGGACGCCTTCGCCTTCGGCTTGATCGTTGGCATAGAGCTATCCGTCAAGCAGGCCACACATGCCGGTCTTTGAATGTTCGGGTTGACTGCTTCCATGTTTGGATGCCTTTGCCAAGGGGGTCGCTCGGCTTGGGCGGATTTTTCTCAGCGCTGCAGGTTGGCGCACCAGGAGAGCACCACCGGCGGCGGCACCACCACCCAGCCACCTCCAGCGGGCGACTTTGGCTGATTCTCGGCTGCGGTGGCGTCTTGCTGCTGTGCCGAAGAGCGGACGAGGTGGGTCACGCCAGGGCCGAGGCAGGACACCACGCGGCCGCCGTGCCGAGTGATCGCGGCGGCGACCTCCCTGCGCAGTCCCAGCGGCAGGCTGTCGTCGAGGAAGGCCACCATGGCGGCCAGTCGTTTCTGGCAGTCCTGCGTGTCCTTGTAGCAGCTCCAGCACACCTCTTCGACTTCTTGGCTATTGAGCACACACCTGTGCCAACCCTCTGATATCAGTGTTGGCACACAACACACGTGAGACACGACACATGACACACGAGACACGACACACACGCACATGGGCGACGTGCACGTACAGACAATCTGAGCACAGGTTTTGGTTGTGGCAGCGGAGGCAAGAGACCTGTGGCTCCGCTGGGCACAAGGTCCTGCCGCACTCGTCGCACTCAATGACACATCGTTCGCACACCTGGCCGTGTTGTGTCCCGTTGTGGTTGGTTGGCGCTGGCTGGCTGGCGTTGGTTGAGGGGTGCACGTACCAAATCACCACACCCCGCGCAGGTGGAGAACGCCTTCTCCTGGTCCCTCTCGAGTTCCTCCCTCAGGACCTGGCCCTCGTAATAGTCGTCCTGTTGTACCGCAGGTTACGCGCGAGCCTGCGTGCGCGCGCGTGTGCGTGTGCGATCATGCGTGTACGTGAGCGTTGTGAATTGGATGGGATGTACATACCTCGAGAGTGTGGCCACACCTAGCACATTCCCAGAAGTCGTCTGCCAATTCGTCCTCATACTCCTCCCGAGCGTCGTACGCCCAGGCGAAGGCCATCTGTCGTTGTATCACGCACACAGCGTCCGGCAGCATGCTTGAGCGCGCTTGCACATTCCCACACATGGCGCACGCACCACCGCACGCGCACGCGCACCACCGCACGCATGTGGCGGTACCTCGGGATCGCAATCCATGCACGTCCACAGGTCCACCTCATCGAATTCTGGCGGCAAGGGCCTTCTCGATGCCTCCCACTCCTTTTCTGTGGTCCTTGGCACTTCGCACTCCCTGATGGCCCATATAAGTTTTATCACATGGCACACGTTTGACGCAAACACGACACGACACGACACGACACGACACGACACGACACGACACGACACGACACGACACGACACGACACGACACGACACGACACGACACGACACGACCGAGACACACGACACACAGCACACATGAAAGTCGCACCACTTCTTGGCACCACAATTTGCGCAGAGCAGAACATCGCAAAAGTGGCACCTGATCAAGCACTCCGCTGGCCATGTGGTGGTGAGACTAGGAAAAAAATAGCAAACATGGTTGGGCGTAGTAGTACGAACGACAGGAAATGATGGAGCAGATGGAGCAGTAGTAGCCGTCGGTACGTTCAGGGAAGGTGAACATTCTCGCTTTGTTGGGGTGTTCCAAGCACACCTGCAAAGCACAACAAGGTTAACACAACATGTTGCTATTTTTGTGTAATAATAAAATAATTATTTATATAATAATTATCAAGAGAGTTTGTACGAGAGGGACTTGGCACAGGAGCGCGTAGGGGAAGGCCAGGTGCAGCCTGCCCAACAGCCTGCTCAATTATATAAACAAAGAATTCATTAAAATTAAAATTTCAATTATTAAATTGAAAGGGGTACCTGAGGGGGAAGAGGTTGGAGAGGCTCTTGGCCAGCAGCGACTGCACGAAGAGGCACATGACGCCGCGCGGCAGGACGGAGAGGTAGTCGCGCGCGATGAGCTGCAGCTGGCCGAAGGTGA